TGAAGCCAAGCAGGGTTGAGATAGGAGACCCCCTGGGAAAACTAGGTTGCTGCTGGAAGAAGTGTTAGTGAGACCAGCAGGGGTTGCTCACCCTGTGGTCTGTGTGGGTCCTAATGCCTCAGTATAGTGACGGGGACACTATACTGTCAACAAGCACCGTCCTTCGGGTGAGATGTTAAACTGAGGTCCTGACTCTCTGTGGTCACTAAAAATCCCATGGCACTTCTCGCAAAGAGTAGTGGTGTAACCCCGGTGTCCTGGCCAAATTCCCTCCACTGGCCCTTGTCAATCATGGCATTCTAATAATCCCTATCCATTGAATTGGCTCTATCACACTTCTCCACCTGTAGCTGGTGTGTGGTGAGCACACTGGCACCGTTGTCCTGTGGCTGCCGTCGCCTCATCCAGGTGGATGCTGCACACTGGTGGTGGTTGAGGAGAGACCCCCTCATGATGATTGTAAAGCGCTTTGGTTGTACAGCAATACACAATAAAGCGCCAATAAATCCCCCATTCATTCATGCATAAGAAAAACTGAAAGTTAAGCACTGTTGAAATAAATGAATCTATTTAAAAAATATTTTTGTGGCTTGTTTAAAAAAAAAGACCTCAGTTGTGTCCCAAATGATGCACTATTTGATATCAGTGCTGGGTAGTAACTACAAGTAATCTGGATTATGTAATCAGGTTACAAAAATGAAGTACTTGTAATTAGATTATATTACAAATATTCGTAATCAGACTAGAGTTATGCTTATACAGTTATTACATAATATTCACACAATAGCAATCATTCATAATTTTTTTTATTCTCGGTAAATCTTCATTTTCATCTTTTATATTTTCCTCTCTAAAATAGCCTACTGCTTAAATGCATTCAGAAAGTCTTCCAGTTTTAATACAGGAATTCTCAAAGTTTTTTGGTCAGCTGAACCTCTTTCACCTAATATATTTATTTGAAGTACCTACTGACATTTTAAATCAATAACACATTGCTTAAAAACAAATAAATTTTTAAATCTTTTTTAGTAAGTGTTTTATTTTACAATGATTTATTTTAATTTGAGATTTTTTTTATGGTTTAATTAATTACTAGCTTTTGATTAAACTCGTGAACCCCAGTTTGGGAAACCTTGACATAATGTAATTTTTAATGCATTTCGTGTTAATAATAACAATGAATGGAACAAATGAAATTTTCTTTCTTTTTATATCAGTTATGGTACAAAATTATCATTTAAATCAATGTGATGGACGAGTTAGGTAAAACGTAATCAAAAGTAGTCTGGTTATACCTAAATGTGTAATGTTACTAACTCCTAGTTTTTGTCATGCAATTTGGAATCAGTAATGGACTACAATTTATAAGTAATCTACCCAGCTCTATTCAGTATGCACTTATATACTATTTACTCTACTGTGTAGTGTATGAATTCTAATAGCCTCTTCCCCTCAGCTGTGTAATGTAAGGATGACTGCAACAGTTAATTAAGTGCATCATCTGGTTATTTGAAGTGCACTTTTTCATTTTGGAGTGTTCAGTGAACACACTGCTGACACTATTCATAATACAAAACGGCTTAGAGTAGTGCATAATTACACTTCTTTACTGTAGGAATATCAAGCTGTTTCTTAACTGACCATGATCACATTGGATGAAGAAATTTCATTTTATCCTGAATGAATGCATGTGATGTTTGTCTACAAAACCCCTCAATCCCCCTCCCAAAAAAAAAAAAAGGCAGGCACAAAGAAAACACTGAGATTCATATCTTTTATTTTTTTTTCTGGCATGTAAAGTACAAATAATTAAACAATTCCATGAAAAATCCTCAAGCGTCTTCAGCTGAAATCCCAGTAATAAATATCCTAAACTAAACTGAAAGGTTTATTATTTTTTCCCCCTTTGTTATGTGTTTGTCTTTGTTTGTTCGTGTTTGGAAGTATGAGATTTTTTATTCGTGACACACAGACACTGAGATCAGGAGTTCTGCTTTTGATCTTTTGTTTTTTATTATTGTTGTTCGTTTGTTTTATTCTGTTATTGTTCTGTTATTCCTGGAAAACGGTTTCAGAAGAACGTTGCTAAGTAACTCTGTGTCCCTCCTAAATTAATTGACACAAAATACAACTGGTTGAGAAACAGAGTGACCACTGACCCCTTTATCCAGCTCAGTGCCTCGCCTGGCCCGTCTCCCCCGCTGCACTTTCTTCGCCCACGTCTGCTAAACGTTGCGCTCTAGCCCTCCCACTGACTGTTTTATTTTCTAGACCACTCTCTCAGTTGGTTTCATGGCTGTATGGCAGTGGGTGAGAGGTTTTTGGCGAGGGACGCTGAGCCTAAGGCCTAGCTGCGGGTCCAGACCGTAGACCGGACCGCGCCTCGACCTGCCCTCCCTGCCCCAGGCCTCGCCCCGGGCCCTGACTCGCTATGGGGTTCTGAACGTGGCTGGAAAAACAAGACTGTGATTAGATTAAATAATCAAAAGGTTTTCATTTAACAAGACAAACAAAACACAGGCATTAAAGGCATAACATCTAGCACACAGCATGTATGTTTATACACTTCAATTGGTTTAATATAGCAGTGCATTCTTTGCCTATGAATAACTTTTCCAAATTGTAATTCTAAAGCAGTTTTTTTTGTTGTTTTTGTTTTTTTATTTTAATTTTTTTATCTATTTGTTCCCTTTAAAGAAAAACAAAAAGGTGTAACCACATTTTGGCAAAATGAAAAGTATTTAAACTTGCAAATATAATGAAATAAACCATAAATATACACAAAACATACTTTCATACGAGGCAATAATAATAATCATAATAAATAGTTTTTAAGTTAACAATAAGTTAAAACTACAAGCTTAAAGTCGCCCAAATAATACAAGTTCATTGGCGCTATATTGATTTTTTTTTTTTCAGTTTAAATTATTTATGTTGCAACAAAAGCTACCACAGACTTTTACAAACACAATTAAACACATTTTGATTGAAAAGAAATAATTCTAACTAATTCTAAAACCTGCATACACTGTAAGAACAGCAACTAATTATAAATAATGGAAACAAATATAAGAAATCGTACCCAATAAAAGGAACCAAAACAAAATATTCGACCCACGTGTGTCCTCTATGGCAACATCAACAACACAAATACGCTAAGTTAACGTGTGATTCTGATATGTAAAGTAAATCAATAAATTACAGGAAAAACGATATTCTGAAATCAACATGGGCTAAAACCGATGAAATTTGAGACAGTATTCCATTCACGGTCTTTTAGAATTGCTCTTTTCGCTACCATAGATGGCTGTTTGTTTTAGCTTGCATGGTCAGAGCACTGATAAGGGGGCGGAGGAAGGGATAATGGACATTTTTAGAGACCAGAGCTCTTGGTGCTTGTTTGATTCTCCTAATGAATCTGTTAGTTAACACTTTTTTTCATTTTTGTTGTTGTTCATTACATTTGATCCTTTCACTATTCTGCAAACCATTTCAGTGTGAGGTTTAATTTCTTTTTTAAAAAATATATATATCTTTTGTTCTCAGTCAATATAAAAACGAAGCACATTGCACTTACTGATCCATAGGAAAGTTTTTTTTTTTTTGTCTTTTTTTTTAATGATTATTATTGTAGTTGCTCAAGCGGTGCAGTAGCCTATGTTTGTTTCCTGCCATTGTCATTGGCTCTCTGAGGGGATGGGGGCGTGGTGTAGCTAAAGAGTTCGTTGGGACACTCAGCCAGAGGGATGATGCTAAAACCTCCCTATGGTCACCAGGTGCACTACAGGGTTGCCCTGGTCACTGTATCTCCATCGCTCATTTTAGAGAGTGGACCAATCTTTACGTCTAGGATGTTTGTCCCCTCTAGGGCACACCACCGATGAGTGACAGGATAAGTTGCGTGTAGCGAAAGAAAAATGTGTTGCGATGTTAATGTGGCGTAAGCTGAGAGGGGTTAGTTCAAGGTGTATCACAGTTTTGATACAATGGGAATGCTGTTGAAGGCTTAGAGACACTTTGATATGTGTTGTGTGTATATGTGTGTGCGGTCACACACTTTTTCCCCCTTCATCAGTGACAAAGATAAGATCCCTTGGTTGGTTAGTGCTTGTGCAAAGGAGCAAAATTAGGTGTCGACGATATGATGGTGGAATACAGAAGATATGTGGAGCGGAAATTAAACAAAAACGAAAAAAATCTAGACAGTACAATGATAGACATTTGCTTGTTGTGTTGACATACTGGCGAATATAATTCGTTATGGATTATTGTGTGAGAATTGATTACATTGATAAGTGCAGCTACATTATATTATGTCAATTTTCAACTTTTTTTGGTGCACTGAACATGCTGAAGCGTTAAGGTGATTTTTCTTTTTTGTTTTTGCCAATACAAGATGAGATGCTCTGGGTGTTTGATGTGACGCCTTTTCGAGCTTCACTGCACCGCCATTGAAGCAACACTTGATTTGTTTCATCACTTTAGAGAAACGGTAACGTCGTTTTTCCTGCGTAATGCATACATGTACCTATCTGCTGATTCTTTTTAAAATGTTTCATATGTTTCTCTTTTTTTTTTTTCCTTACACCGCAGACTGGCCCTCTCTCCCCAAAGTTGAAAACTCTGAAAATAAAAGCCATGCGGTGTGTCCAAAGATTTCCACGATTTAAGAATCTGTAAAAATGTTGCACAAGGTCTTGTTTTTTCCCCCGTAGATATAAAAATATATTAATCTCTAATGTAATCCTTTCAAAGAGATCATTATCCTCTTTGGCTAACACAGCGTTATTTAGAAAAGCAAAATGTCACTTGATTTGAACACACATTTACATCTTTCAGTTCTTTTCTTCATATAATGTGAAGTTTTGCGATTTTACAGCAATGTCTCTCCCCATGGAACAGTTTTCGTTTGTTTTATCACAGGGCTGTGGACAGCTTGGGCATTGTCTTTAATGTATCTAGGGAATTTTTAATTTATGAGATGAGTATTTAAAAAAAAAAAAAAGATGAATTTTTGTGTAGCTCATGGGGCTGTGACTTGCTTTAAAGGGCCATGAGTACACAAAATTAGTTTTTTTTTTTTTTTTGCTTGATATGTAGCTGTTTAGATATGTAGGGGCTGCTAAAACCTGTTTGGGCGAATTATAATGCAACTCTGTTTAGTGAATGGAGCTAAATGTATCTAAGAAGTTATGAAGACCAAGGACGACCAATCCCAGTGGCCCCTGACCTTCATAACAGCTCATTCACTATAAAATGGGCAGCTCAAAGAGCTGACACACAGCCTTTCCTATTCCCGAGCCATTCAAAACTCTTTAAAATGATCTAATATGGTTCTGGATTTTGCAGTCGGCCTTCGTAATTGGTTTGAAAGACTTTCAAAAGAATTCCAAATGCCATCGCCATGGGAACACTGTCGAAATGCCCCTAGTTACACAGACAACTGCATGTGGTGGAATTGATTCTAAATTCTAATTATATAAAACTCAGAGTGGAAAGATATGAGGAGATTCTAGGTTGCCATGTTTTGTGATGTTTTGCTATGCCCTCCGGTGGAGGTGCGTATGTGCATGTGCATGTGCATGTATGTGCGAGTGTCTCTGTGATGAATGTTGTCTTTCAGTGTGCTGAAGTGATTGTGATGGCCCACGGGTGACCTCTCGATTTGTGACTACCATCCACACAGTTTGTTCAGTGGCTGTTGGGTTGGACCTCAAGTAAGGTGTGTGTGGTGCCATAAGGCAAGGTTGCAACCAAATGTAGAGCCAGGAAACCGTAATCAAAGTTCTAGAAAATGCTTACATATTTGGCTATTATAACCACCTTAAATGTTGAATATATAGTTATATCATAATATATATAAGAGAACACTGTTTTAATCATTTTTCTTTTAAAAAAATCACTGATTCAAAATGCCCAAGTGTAAAAAAGTGACTACATCCTCTGAAGCCAGACAGGAGAGTTACCAGGGCAAGATTTTGGGTAAATTGCACATATTTGATTTACTTTTTTTCCTTTCATTGACCAGTTCTCTTTCTTTGCCTGAATTAAATTAAATCTCTGCAGACATTCTCTGTCACATTCATTAGACTGTCCCTCCTCATGGATTTTCCCTCATGGATTTCCTCACAACTCTGCTAATTCAATACAGGCAAATGTTAGGAAGGACTAGCATGTTGTGTAAAGAGAAAAGAAAAATGACTCTACTCGTGTATTTTTGCTCAAAACAACTAAACGTGTGTGTGTATGTGTGTGTGTCGAATGTGTGTTAGAGAGAGACTCAGTCCAGGCCCATGTAGAGTGAATGTACAGGGAGCTCAGTAGCTCCCACTGCATGTTAAAGAGCAGTAGTGACTAGGCCTTCCTTTAAGCCTTGTGCTGCTTGCTGGTCTTGAAGGAGACCTGCAGCACGCGGTCGCCCAGGCGGTAGCCGTTGAGGCTGGCGATAGCCATGGCTGCCTCGTCGTAGTTGGTCATGGTGACAAAGCCAAAGCCCTTACATTTGTTGGTGGTGAAGTCACGGATGACCTTGACGTTTGTGACGGCGCCGAATGGCCCAAAGAGCTGCCACAGGACGCTTTCGTCGGCTTCTGGGGACAGGTTGTAGACGAAGATGCACCAGCCGGCTCCGGTGGGTCCGGTCAAGTTGACGCCGGCTAGACTGGTCATGCTGTCAATGGTTATGGGGGAGAATCTGGGGAGGAAAGAAGGAGAGCTACCATGGGTGTCATTCTGAAGTTCAGCACAGTGTGCTTCTCATTACCACATGTTCCTGCCATTTTTGTCTCTGAGGAACGGACACTCGATCTCCACAGCCTTAAGTAGGTAAGAAAATGGGCAACTATTGTATTAACTAGGATGACCAAGCCAAACTCTAGTCCCTGTTTGAAATAGGACACAGAATTCACAATGTCCAACAAAATCACGATACTTAGCAAAACAGAAACCTAGAGAGGGATGAAGGCAAATCAGAAACAAATCAACGGAAAATTGGAACGAACAGAGGAGACGCAAAAGGAATCTTGTATGTCCATGCTGGTGGAAAAAAGACATTAAAGCAACCAAAACTGAAAAAAATAAATAATGTTAGTTCAATACAGAAATACATACAAATCAGTTCAATCAAGGAATCAACCAAAAGAACAAAAAGGTTCAACAAAGCCATGCCAGAATGTCCTGCTGTGATATCAGCTACATCAATCTACTCTACTGAAACAAGTGTTTTCTCAAATCTCATCTGTAATGTTAATGCTTAAGTCAGCAGGTGGTATTCCGGGTACTTTGTTTGAGCTTGTTTAGGCATGGATGCTTTTGAAAGGACACCTTTTTTCGGAAATTACCTCTTGACTCCGTAGCTGGCGTTTAGTAAATTGTCGAGTCTGCAATGCAAGAGGGAGAGTGACGGAGGTGAAGATATTAGTTGCAAGATCCAACAACAAGAGCAAAGCGTTTTCAAGCAGCCACTTCAGCCACCAGGGGGAGCTCTTTACTGGGCACTGCATCCACCAATCAGCAGGCAGCGGCTCGCCCAATGCAGTGCTTACAGAGCCCTCAGGCGATGGATTAAGAGTACTGCGATGAATGCTTGTGAATGCATCCATGCCATGACTGAGTCACATGCAGTGTTTTATCTCTAAGCAGGGCAGTTCTTTTAAAAATGTACGCACTGCCTCAGTTAGACCCGTTGGGATTTGTCGAAATCCCCCTGATGGCGTGAACGTGAAAACCGGCAGAGGAAGAGTAGGGAGTGGCAGGGGTGAGGGGTGAGGGCTGCAGGTGGGAGCAGTACCTGAAGCGCTGAGTCTGGTGGTGCAGAGGGCCTGTGAAGCGGCGAGCAGCTGTCTGGTAAAGCTGGGTAAGCAAGGCCTGTCCCGTCTTCTGACTGGGGTTGTTGGCGAACTTCACGGTGATGGGCTCAGCGGCGCCCAGCGGCTTTTGACCATTCAGGCCTTTGATGGCTTCCTCGGCCTCATTTCTTTTGTCGAACCGAATGAAGCCTACTCCGCGCGATATACCTGCTCCAGACAGAAAGCAAAGCAATGTTAGCACCGTCACACAAATGAATGGCAGATAAGTGAGTTATGTGGTCACAGGGTTAAACCAAACTAGATACTTCAGTACTTTATGATCTACTTTACAAAGCAGACAAAAATTATAGCTATTTTCAATGCGAACCATTTTATTTCCATACTGTGACACATTTCTCAGTGAAGCGGGATTTGATTTTATGCATTGGGAAGTTTTTTGATTAACACAATGTTATTAATATCAATGAAAAAGGACAAATGGTTTTTGAAATGTAGATTTTTTTTAAATCAAATGCACAGATGAATAATGCATAATTGTATATTTAAATAGACATTTTTATTCTTTAATTTTACATTTTTTTGAGGTTGTAGTTTTAATTTTAATTTGATCTGCCTTGTATTTTTTATTTAATTCATTTTATCCATTTAATCCCTTTATCTCCAAAGGATTTGTGGTTTTGCTCATAATGTCTATCTATCTGTCTATCCATCCATCCATCCATCCATCCATCTAAATTAAAATATAAAAAACTTTTATTTAAGCTAGTTGCCAAGAAAACATTTATCATTTTCATTTAGTTTAACCTAACATACCAAAATAACTGAAACTAAAATTATTACAAAAAATATAGAGTCATATTTAAAAAATAGTAATAACATATACATAAATTATTACTAAAACTGTGACTGAAATTAAATTAATTCAAAATATCAAAATAAAACTGCCAGGAATGTGCATTAAAAATGTAAAAAAAAAAAAAAAAA